AGGGCAAGCCTTGGCAATGATTTAATCCTTCATAGTAGCCATTTCTGACCATGTGTATTTTCCGCCAATTACATTATTAGCATTCTAGCCTTTTTTCTGTATCGGTATATGAACATGTAGGGATGGTGCAGAAGGGACTAGATGTGGTAGCATGTGAACCTATTGGCTATGTAAATAATCATGAATGTATCATAAATATCCATCTGTATATTTGCACTATATGTAATCCAAATGTAATATTACATGGCTGTCCTCCTGAATTTATAAGGTAAGTATACTTTTAAAACTGTGCTTCAGTACACCTAATGGAATGTTGCTTTGACATCCTCTGATCTACCAAACTAGAATCCATTTGAAAAGCCCAACTCCAGCCAACTTTGAGCAGAATCTTTTGATATTCTCAAAAAGGAGGTTTCCCTTTACTTCTTGTCTCAATAACAGCTGTTACCAAGAGTAAAGTTATACCTCTCCAAAGTGATTAAACATGGCAGTAAAAACATGACAGATTCTGACTCTCCCTCATATCGCTTCTGGAGGAATAAATGGGTTGAAAGGCTTAATGACTAAAGGGGGGAATAGTCATGGGAAAGGATTAACCTGTGAGATAAAAGTGTAAGAACAAGAAGTCTAACTTGATTGGTGGTCACTGGTCAGATGATAGGGAGAAGGGTAGGTGCAGAGTGCTGCCTGGAAAATTTTTCCAAAAAGGTCAGTTGGAGAGTAAATTTGTCCCAGCCGCCTGCCCTTCTCCAATTATTTCAAATAGCAGCATTGGCGGGGGGGGGGGGGGGTTCTCACACAGCAGCTTGGTGGATTTCGGGGGGTCTGTAAAAACCAAGGAATCATTTAAAATTGGGGCTAATTAGGTGGCAGAGCATTTCCTTTCAGTGGGTTGTTGTTAGATGTTCCATGGACTCGCTTGCTGGAAAACTGGATATTTATAAACTCTAATGCAGGCCATAGATGGGGAGAAAAACGGCAGATTTTTCTTTTAAAAAACGAAAAATCGGTCGTTCAAGTGGCCGACGTTACCATCAATGGTAAAAAAAATCGGCCGATTTTCATCCCGTCTAGGGCCGGCAAAAAGTGTCCCTGCAGAGAGCTCTGCTATTTCTTTGACAGTTCTCTGACAGTTCCTTGACATTTATAGTGGTTGCAACAATGTATCTATTTGTTTCCATTTAGGATACAGATGTTTTTATTCGGAAACAAATAGATACAATGTTGCAACCGCTGTAAATGTCAAGGAACTGTCAGAGAACTGTCAAAGAAATAGCGGAGCTCTCTGCAGAGACACTTTTTGCTGGACTGGAATTCCTCTTATTTTCATCCTACTTCTTCTTCTTCTTCATCCTCTTCTTCTTCTTCATCCTCTTCTTCTTCTTCATCCTCATCCTCTTCTTCTTCTTCATCATCCTCATCCTCTTCTTCTTCCTCATCCTCTTCTTCTTCCTCATCCTCATCCTCTTCTTCTTCATCCTCATCCTCTTCTTCTTCTTCTTTCTTCTTCTTCTTCTTCATCATCCTCATCTCTTCTTCTTCTTCTTCATCCTCATCCTCTTCCTCTTCTTCTTCTTCTTCTTCTTCTTCATCATCCTCATCCTCTTCTTCTTCCTCATCCTCATCCTCTTCTTCATCTCATCCTCTTCTTCATCTTCATCCTCATCATCCTCTCTTCTTCTTCTTTCTTCTTCTTCTTCTTCATCCTCATCCTCTTCTTCTTCATCCTCATCCTCTTCTTCTTCATCCTCTTCTTCATTCTTCATCCTCATCCTCTTCTTCTTCTTCATCCTCTTCTTCTTCCTCTTCTTCTTCTTCATCCTCTTCCTCTTCTTCTTTTTCTTCTTTTTGTCTTCCTCTTGCAGGTCACTGCTCATGCGCAGATTTTTTATCGGTAAAAAATCGACCAATTTGCCCACTAATTGCCGCGAAAATCGGCCGATCGGCAAAATCGGCCGATTTTTTTCCAACTTTAAAAAAAAAAAAAACCGGCCAAAATACCGAAAAAAAAACGGCCGACCAAATCGCCCAATAACGATCCGAAAATCGGCCGATTTTATTTTCGGCTGAAAAATCGGCCGATTCCCGATTTTCGACCCATCTATGGCCTGCAAAAGGCCCCTTTTACATGGGCGGACAGATCTGGTCTGCCTGTCTGTTTTTTCAAACAGACCCAATCGGACCATCAATTGCCATCTGTTTACCCCTGACTGTATCCGATCCTATCCGCTAAAAACAGATGGATGGGGATCCCTTCCCCATCTGACTAGCAGATTAGATCTGATGACAGTCAGATGTAAATTAACTGGCTGTCCATTTACATTGGACCACCCATAGAGGACAGTGGCCCTTGTCCGGACCTGTCATCCACCTGCTCAGAGGGGATCAGCAAACAGATCCCCCACTGAGCAGGCAGATCCACCGGAAGAGTCCATCGGTGTGAAAGGGGCCTTAAACTCCATTTCAGTATTCATAAATATTTGACTCCCTACTAAAAATGAATGTAGAAGTCTGTAAAAAATAAAAAATAAACATCAGCATGAGACATGTATAGTGATGTTGCTTGAACTGTTTGATGAATAAGGTGAATGAATTACTTACTTCTTGCCCTCCATTCCCCCCCGGAAGCCAGCGTTCTCTTCCGCTATCCAAAAAGCATCCATTAATGGCAGTCTTTTGGAGACCATTACATTTTATGACACTGGCTAGTTTCTGACGGTATCCGATGTTCCCAGAATGTAGACAATCCATCGGGGTCCTTACATGCATTGCAGGACCGCTAGTATGGCTTTGAAGAAATTGGCAGTAAAGGCCATGCAGGGCTGAGGATTCTTCTGGAAGCGATGCCTAGATTAATTATTTCAACTTTTTTTAATCCTGCTAGACAAGACGAGATGTTAACCCTTAGAAAGTGGTGGGCAATCTATTGCAAGGTAACATTTTCTCTAGTTTGGACTTCAGCTTTAAGGGAAATAAAAGATAAGCATGATGTTGTCTTAAAGCTGAACTCCAGGTCCCTCCTAGAAAAAATTGAGCCAGGCAGGGTGCTCATTAGTCATTCATATGAAGTCCATTTTTTTTTTTTTTTTTTTTGAATGAATACAAGGCTTCCTCTCAATTTTGTTTGGTGAATGGGACAGGAAGTCCCTGTACTGCTGCGGGAACACATCACTGTATATTGTATGTGACTGATGCTACACACAAGTTATACAGTGCTCCCAATGGGTGCATCTCTTAGTAAAGTAAATAGTTCAACCGGATGAGCTTGGTTACTAGCAAATGTGCTTAGAATAGAAAAACTGATATTTATTGTATATCAAAGGACTACAATGCTAGGTAATTACATTGTCCTTTATAATAAATAACAATCATTTCTTTCCTGAAAATATCTTCGTGGTGGAATCTTGTTAAAAGTGATTTTCTTTTATGTTTACTGACCTGTTGTATAAAGTTATTTAAAGAATAAGTTCACCATTTTTTTCTTTTTTAATCCCAGTTCCCCTATGTACCAATATATCAATAATGTACTTCTTTTGCAGAATTCAAAAGCTTTCCAGTTATTCTACACACCTATACCTCAGTGTCCAGATTACTATATAACAAGCATCTCCATTGCCTTACTTCCTGCAGAGACTTTTAGTTCATGACATAGGAAGGAATTGACCAGCTGACCTCATTAGCACACACCCTGGATCATCTACCCTTCTACCTCCCACCCACTTCCAGGTGCACAACTATTAAATGAAATGCAAGCAATCAGTGATCACTGTTTTCACTAAATACACTAATACACTACCACCGGTTTTTATTTTTCTACCTTAACTTTCATCTTGCATAAATCGTTCATTGGGCAGAATGTGTTGATTGATCAGATAACAGCCTATGTGTAGTCTATAAAGTTCACCATACACTATACAATCTGATTGTACAATCTCCTTTAGATCTACCATCAACTATGTAGTACAAGGGCCTGCCTGATTGGATACAGAGTGAATGGGTAGATAGGTGGGTCCTCCTATTCCATAGTTCTGGATACACTAAAGGAAATTGTACAGAGATTGTACAATCAGATTACATAGCGTATGGCCATCTTATACAAGTAGTACATAGGAAGGAGTGGACAGAGGTACTCAGCTGTAAAGCCCCATTCACAGCTCTGAGTATCGGGAACTCACATTCCTGTATGTGTTTTTTTGAGGGGGGTATTTTGGAGCATTTCCACTTGATGCAAAGGGCAGCTCATGCACTTGAATGGGTTGACCTACATGCAATAATTGTCCCAAAGAAGCTACAGAACTTTTTTTTTTTTCGAGTGGAGAGTAGTGCTTCTTTTACTGTGATTTTTGGTGTAGCACATTTCTGAAATGCAAGACAAAGCTTGCATTTTCTGTGCAGTTTGCCATGCATTCAGAAACACACAGATGTGAATGGAGCCTCATCGTTCATGTGTAAGTACACCAATTTCACTTTCAGGCCACATTCACATCTAGCATAGTGGGAGCGCATATTTTTCAGCTTGTTTTACCTGTGAAACACATAGGGCAGACTGTTTATTGCATGTGCTCTGCCAAATGTACGATCTATGCAAGATGAAAGTTAAGGTAGAAAAATAAAAATCAATGCCTGTGTATTTAGTGAAAATAGTTATCACCAACTGACTGCATTTCATTTAACCAGTTGCCGACCGCAGATAGCCGAATGATGGCTGCACTGCGGCCGGCCAGTTCTGGGAGGGCATCATATGACGTCCTCCCAGAACACGCTCTCCTGCGCTCCCCCGGACACAGCTGATGGGGTAAAAGGCCAATCATAGTGGCCTTTTACCACGTGATCAGCCGTGTCCAGTGACACACTGATCACAGGGAAATGCAATTGCCGGTTCTCGGCTGCACTTTCCTCCCGCTGTCAGAGCATGAGGAAAGTACTGCCGAGAACCGGCAGTTGTCAGAGCAGGGATCGGCACCTATCATCAGGGCACTGATGATCAGTGTTCTGATGATCGGTGCCCAGCAGTGCCACCCACCAGCTCCACCCACCTGTGCCCAGCAGTGCTGCCCACCTGTGCCCAGCAGTGCCACCCACCTGTGTCCAGCAGTGCCCACCAGTGCCACCCACCAGTGCTTATCAGTGCCACCTACCTGTGCCACCCAGCAGTGCCACCCACCTGTGCCACATACCTGCTCCCAGCAGTGCCACCCACCTGTGCCCAGCAGTGCCACCCACCTGTGCCCATCAGTGCTACCCACCTGTGCCCACCAGTGCCCATCAGTGCAGTCCAGCAGTGCCGCCAGTCAGTGCCACCAGTCAGTGCCCAGCAGTTGTGCCAGTCAGTGCCCAGCAGTTGCGCCACTCAATGTCCAGCAGTGATGCCAGTCAGTGCCCAGCAGCGATGCCAGTCAGTGCTGACTATCAGTGCTGACAATCAGTACCCATCATCAGCGCCACCTATCAGTGCCGCCTATCCATTCCACCTCATTAGTGCTGCCTATCAGTGCGCCTATCAGTGCCGTTCAGTGCTGCCTATCAGTGCCCATCAGTGCCACCTATCAGTGCCGACCACTGCTGCCTCATCAACGCACATCAGTGAAGGAGAAAAATTACCTGTTTGCAAAATTTTATAATAGAAAGAAAGAAACTTTTTTTTTTCAAATTTTTTGCACTTTTTTTGTTTATAGTGCAAAAAGTAAAACATCCAGCGACTATTAAATACCACCAAAAGAAAGCTCTATTTATCTGAAAAAAATTATAAAAATTTCATATAGGTACAATCTTGCATGACCGCGCAATTGTCATTCACAGTGTGACAGCGCTGAAAGCTGAAAATTGGCCTGGTAAGGAAGGGGGTATAAGTGCCTGGTAGGCAAGTGGTTAATAGTCGTGCACCTGGAAGTGGGTGGGAGGTAGGAGGGTAGATGATGCAGGGTGTGTGCTAATGAGGTCAGCTGGGCAATTCCTGCCTGTGCCATGACCTAAAAATCTCTGCAGAACATAAGACAGAAGTAATGGAGAATATTTCTATACAGCCATCTGGACACCGACGTAAAGGTGTGTAGATTAAATGGAAAACTTTTGAATTTCTGCAAAACAAGTACGTTAATGCTGTGTTGGTACACAGGGGAGCTGGAATTTAGAAAAAAAAAGTGAACAAAGGAGGACTTAGCCTTTAAGAAACATCATTATATGAGCACCTTCATATCTGAAAACACAATTCCAAGTAAAGAGTAAAAGCAATATTAAACCCCAAACCAAATATGTAATATACTGCAGCTTACCAGTCATTAGATATGGTGGCTACATTAGTTCGGACATTTCCCTTTTTTTCGCCTGGTGATCTGATCATTAACACACCTCCTGTATCAGAGTGCCAGTGCCCCCACTCTGGATGATGGAACACAGGGGCATCTTCGGACGGTTGCATTGTTAATCTGGATAAAGGGGAGTGTTAAATGTACTAGCAGATTTCAATACACCAACAAACTGAAGCCAAAATCCACTTTAGGATAAAGGTTCTACATGAATAAATAAAAGCTGATCATTGTAAGAACCCAGAACCCAGTCAGTTTTAAACGGTTTGTCTGATTCCTGTAGCTAGCACATCTGCAGGACAGCTTGTTCTGTTCAAAAACAACAGACTTACTGTCTGGATCACCAGGCGAAAATAAGGTGAAAAATCATAAAAAAGAAAATAATACAGCCATCACATCCAAGAATTGGTAAGCTGCAATATCATAAATTTGCTTTTGGGTTTAACACCGCTTTGTGTAGATTGTGTAAACTTTCTCATGTGTGGGACTTCATCCTTTGTCAGATTATTCTGAGCAATGTCTACTTAGTTGGAAGATATGAAGTATCCTTCAGTAGTAGGCAGAGCCACAGAGCATTTTGTTTTTCTGTGAGGTTCATTCTTGGGCCCTCAGAGAAGAACAATGAGGTGGCACAAAGGGTGAATGGGGGTGTGGTAAAATTGCACTAATGATTGAACAGGCTTATAACTTGAACTTACTCATTGTGTACACTATTAGATATGGCACACTCCTTGTACCCACAACATATGCTTTACTACTCCACAAGCCACAATCTAACAGGCACATCCAAAACCTTGGAGGAGAGGGGACGGGAGGGAAGAGCAGAGCTTTACCAGTGACAGCAAGGTTCTACAGTAGGGGTGCTTAACTTTTTGAAGAGCGAGGGCCACTTAGGTGATTTGGTAAACTGTTGTGGGCCACAATGAAATGAAATTTGTTCAGAATTTCATTTTTTTTTTTATTTTTAATAGCACAATGAACATTTTCCTCCTGCAGTTGAATGCCGGCAGGAGGGAGAGGAGAAGCCGGATTTCAGCTGATGCAGGATAAAAACGGAGAGGATTGGTTCCTGTATATGCCACCCCTGCTGCCCCTCCTGTCCAAGTCTAAAACAGAATGTGGTAGGGACGCCCCTGATGCTACACCATTGGTTGGGGGGGAGGAACACATTTCAATTATGGAGTTTTACCACGCCCCCATACAGCAAATGTAAACAAGTCCTTATTGTCCTAAGCCCCCCTATATGTGCACCTGTGGCTTTCCTGTAGGTTAACTGCCATATAGTTCTATTATATCTTTTGAGTGTAGTGCACTTTTAGAAGTGCACTAAATCCACAGGTTAAAATAAAAGTGAGCTTCCCTGGTTTGAGGTTGAGGGCCACATCAGGACTCCGAGGACCACATGTTGAGCACCCCTGTTCTAAACTAAGGGAATTTTACCATAAAAAAGACTGCTCAAAAGGTTTGTCATCCCACTGAAGGTGATCAGTCCCACTAACACTATTCCAAATTTCTATACTGCCTGACTCCAAGCTGCTGGTCTGGAAAAGGACTCAGCAAGGTGAGCCACAGCCCCCAGATTTCTCTTCCTTCATGTCTCTAAGCATCAGAAGAGAGCAGAGTAAGCCTTTACTGGCCACCAATGTGGCAAAGAAGGAGTGTTACCTCTACTCACTCCCAACCACCTGACAATATCTTGGCTGGAGGGAAGAAATGCGATCCCAGTGGCCAGGAACACTGTAGTTATGGCTGGAGAGAAAACAAAAGCAGGACGGCTGTGACTGGTATGTGTATGTTAAGGCTTTAGAATTAACTATAGACAGTTTATTTTATCTACTTTGTAATTAGAGGGTAGAAATTAGTATTTCTATCAGGTATTTATTTAACTCTGTATCCCACTTTAGGGCAATTCCATTAATTCTTGTCCCTGATACTATACAAGAAATGTGAATAGTATTGATCACCAGGATAGGTAGCCACAGCAATACCAATATTGTCAGAAGATCTAACCCTCCTTCACTCTACTAAAAATGTTTTTCACTGTTCCATCACTTCTTATCCAAACAGGAAGTAGGGGACATCTTCCCGATAAACACATCACAAAGGTTCTAACAGCTCTGTGCTCTATCTATTCATTTTGTCTGGAGTGGACATTATCATGTCATTATTTCAGGGTTCTCCTACAGGTAGCCCCATAATTAATAGGTAAAATAATGGCTCCTCATTCCTATTAAATGAAGGAGATGAGGGTCAAAGGATCCTACAGCAGAAGTCAACATTCATTTCATAAAACCCTGTAGATGGAAGATATCTGGTACTACTTGATAGTGTTGGGTCTCTTGTGTCTAACATCAGTAATAATATTAAAATGTAGATAGCTATCATCATAATTTAGTAGTAGTAATATTAACAAAAAATAATACGTAAAATGGAGACTCAATGCACTTACAAATATATATTATAACTATAAAAATGCCTTTATCCTCATAGAAAGACACACAGTACCCCTAATACCACCACCATAACCACCATCCCAAAACCAGGAAAAGAACCCCAACAAGTACAAAATTATAGAGCAATATCTCTTATCAATCAAATTATAGCCTCTAGAATAATCACATTACTGCCATCGCTAATCCATCCTGACCAGGTTGGCTTCATACCAGGCCGACAAGCCCCAGATGCCACCAGGCGACTAATTTTACTTATACACGAAATGCAAAATCACAAAACTCCCTCGCTTCTCCTTTCATTAGACGCAGAAAAAGCCTTTGATCGCATCCACTGGGGCTATATGCAACAAACATTACAAATATTTGGTTTCTCTGGTTGGATACACAAAGTGATTATGTCACTGTATTCTGCACCATCAGCTAGAGTACTAAGCAAATTAATTTTATCAAAACCGTTTGATATTACAAACGGCACAAGACAGGGATGCCCATTATCCCCAATTATATTTGCCCTTCTAATCGAACCACTTGCCTCTAAAATATGCGCAGATCCAAATCTCACAGGCATCAAATATAGAGAATCCGAACACAAAATAAACTTATTTGCTGATGACATCATCTTAATGCTCACAAATCCCTTTAAATCCCCACATAGAACGATGGATATACTAAATGACTACACCAAAATATCATATTATAAACTCAGCGCTAACAAATCTCAAATACTAAACCTACACATGCCAGAACATATGCAAAAAAACCTAACTAAGAAATTCCCTTTTATCTGGTCTAACCATTCTATACCCTACCTAGGTATTAACCTAACACCCTCTACGACCCACCTATACAACTTGAATAACAAAACACTAACACACAAGCATTACCAAAAGAGCTCCAACAAAAACAACTAATTTCTTTGGGATTTTAAACACCCTAGCCCATGGTCTCTCCAAACTATGCCATATAGCATCCTTGGAAAAAATGATTATTCTTCCCAAAATACTCTATATCTTTTAGAACCCTACAAATCCCAGTACCTATGAAATTTTTTCACATGATCCAAAAACAATTCTCCCAATTTCTTTGGGATATTTTAAACACCCTAGATGCACCACTAATCTACTAATCCAACCTTATAGCAAAGGAGGGGCAGCCCTTCCACATTTACACACCTATTATATAGCTACTTTACTAGACCAATCATACTACTGGTGGCACCCCTCCACAGACAAAACATGGTCCTTTATGGAAATGATACACTTTCAACCAAGTACATCTCAAGCACACATCATACTAAACACAATAACTCACAAATATAACTCCCCCAATCATCCTTGTATTAGAGCTTCTCTAGAAGCCTGGATGCATATCACTAACAATGGATGGCAAAGAGCATCACTTCTAAAACCCCAAGAACATTGAAACCCCTCTCAGGATATTAAACATCCTAATTCAAAACACCTCAACCTCCTGTTTACCGAAAACACACTGGTAAAATATGGTGAGGAGGTTCAACACTAATATGCCCTGGCACTGGGTGCCTTGACTGTGTGCAAGGCATCATCTTTCAGAAATCCTGGGTCTTCCAGCAGGACAATGACCCCAAACATACGTATCAGAAATGGATCAAAAAACAGTGGACCTAGCCCCCTTCCATTGAACACCATCTTCATGCTTCACTCCCAATAAGAGAGACCCCCACTGAAGAAAACTTTACCTAAAACAGAATAGGCCATTGCCAAAAACCTACAAACATCTAAGGGTGCCCACTCCATTTTT